TTAGCATAAGTTAAAAAAGCAGATGACAATGTTCTTCATTCAGTAACTGCTTCTAACTGTAAGCAACATAACTTTTCATGTTAATGGCTGCAGAGTTAGTGATGAAGCAATTTAAGGAAGATTAATGCAACAAGATCTACTGTATTTAGACTTGTGCAATTGCTTTGCTTGCTCATACATGTAGATCACAGCACATATGTATAGCTTGCTTAGGCTTGTCCCTTTCATTCTTCTAAAAGTTATTAATACCAAATGATCAAAAATGCTAAATTAAGTACCAGCCAAATGTCAGTTTCATGAAAATTGCTAAAATAACTACATGCTAATAATTGTCTCCTTAAGGTACAATGGGCTGAACACACAATTTAGATTTCGGGACACAAATTGTTTTCTTTATACTTTTTCTACAATATATAATTTTTTCAATTTTTATTCTCTATATTGAGATGCAATAAACTTTACTAAACTTTGTAAAATGGATGAAAACTGAGTAAAGAATTCTTGAACTTGATGAGAGTACTTTAATTTTTAGTAATATCATTGTGTTTATAATATTATTTTCTGTTGACGTATGTTGCATCATTTGGCAAAAGTCTTTTAAGTTTTGCCAAATGGGCTGCAATCTCTCATAAAGTTTTGTTGATTTTCAAACATCAGTGTATCACAGAAGCATTTACCGCATACAAACTTGTTTGAGTGTTTGCCTTCATTATGCCACGATTGCAAGCTTTAGAGCTTCGTAGAGCCTGCTTTCACCAGATGAAACAGCTAAATATGCAATAGTCAGGAAATACATACTGGCGGCCATTTTTAATAATGGTTTGACTAATATGACGTCATAACTTAACCCCACCTTGCAATTAATATTTCCCACCAGTTTCATTATATACAGAGGTATCCAGAAATGACACAAGATCAAAGATGGCGTATAAAGTATAAAAAGTTATGCAGGAATTTTTTTAAATATTTGAAGTTCAATGATCTATAACTTCTAAAGAGCGCACGGTAAAAATTTAAAAATAGCACAAGTTGTACAACTTTTTCTTTACTATGAAATGGCAGCAATTAAAAAAATATTAAAATTTCATCCAAAAGTACCTTAAAGCTTTTCGTGATACAATTGACGACAATAATGATGAAGATAGCTTGAGCACATGTGAATCTATAACAGGAACAGCAGTGCTGGCAGAAGATAGTAGGTTAATTCCTGCAGATCATTTGGATCAAGATGATGTTGAGGTTGTCGACACAGATGTAGAAGAAAACGACTCTGACCACGAAAGTGATGCATCTGATTTTGATAACAATGAGCTTGAACACAATAACGCTTTCTCCAGAGAAGACTACCAACGTCTCTCCTGCTTTCCTCACACTCTTCAACTCATTGTTACCAAATTTGATGAATGTAAACCCTGTAAAGAAGCAATTTCAACTGGTAAACGATTAGTAGCTCGGTTTAACAAGTCTGTGAAAGCCACAGAAATGCTTATAAAACTCTCTGGAAAGAGGCTAATTGGAGATTGCCCAACTCGATGGAGTTCAACTTACCTTCTTTTGAAACGGCTACTTGCTCTACGAAGCAGCGTAGACACTGTAATATGTAAATTGGAGTGGGATGGCCTTCAGGCTCGTCATTGGAAGGCAATTGAAAATGTAGTAGCACTGCTGGAACCATTTGCTGAATATGCATCATTATGTGGAGGTGAGGAGTACACATCAATTTCCTGTGTTGTTCCAGCATTAATAGAATTAAAGCTTCATTTGGACAAGGTGACCTATAATACTATTTTGTATGTAGTTCACAAAAATCTTTTATGTAGATGCAATTGAAACAGGGTACAGTTGCTATAGCAAAGATCATGAAAGAGGAAATAGAACGACGATTTAGTAGCTTTTTGGATCCATTTCATCCAAATTTTAAACCAACATATGTAGTAGCTACTTCACTAGATCCACGGTACAGAATTGTATTGTCCAATGACCAAATAAAATTTGCTATTGATTTTCTAAAGAAGGAATGCTTTCAAGAAACCGAAGAAAGAGTAAGTGACTATTTTTTAAACTAAATCAATAATTACATTGCAAATTATTTGTAGTTACCATCTGACAGTGATGCTTCTCAGTGTGTTGATATTTTATCAGAGCCTGAGCCTCCATGCAAGCGATTTTGGCTGCTAAGTCAACTTGTAGCTGAAAAGCAACAAGATGATGAAGAACAGAATAGTAACAATGATGTATATGAATATTTTCGCTCAAAACGCCACTTTCCAGATGAAAACAAGCTTGATCCATTACAATTTTGGATCCAAAATGAAAAGATATATCCAACTTTGGCTCCATTTGCTCAGGATATTCTTGTAATTCCTGCATCCTCAACGCCTATTGAGCGAGTTTTTTCAAAAGCAGGGTATTCATCAAGCGGAAGGAGAAATCGACTGTCAGGAGCAAATTTAGAACTTGAAGTATTGCTGAAAGCAAATAAATCATACATTTAGATGCGTACTTTCTACTTTGACTATCTCTTCATTTATGTTACAAATATTACTAAGAACTAACTGTATAACTATAATAAAAATTTTCTAATAATTCTTAAATTAATAGTGTTCATCTGCTACATAACTAAAACTCAGTTTGAAATTACAAGAACTAACTATTACTAACTAAAAATACTTTCAAGAAATACAAAACTAACTATAACTAACTAAATCTATTTTGAAATTTAAAAAACTAACTATAACTAACTAAAAGTATTTCAAAACGAGCATAACTAACTATTACTAACTAAAAGTATTTTTATTGAAGCATAACTAACTAAAACTAACTAATATCAAAATCTGAAGTTCCATAACTAACTATTACTAACTAAAAGTCTCATTTTGTAACTAAAACAACACTAGTAGCGACGCCTCTCTTACCTATTTCTTGCAACTCACTGATGGTTTAGAGCTTAAAGCTAACCTACTTGGTCAATTTGAAGTTCATATTAGGCCGGGGCAAGCCTCGACTGCCGGCCAGACACATAGCTCAGCGGTAATGAACGAATTCCATGGTGAGTAGCTAGAGTTATGGTTTCAGTCTCATCCTGCCAAATAGCATATTTACCTTCCTTTAGGAACTACTCTACATAAGAAACAGGCTGACTACTGGCTGGCTGATGAGTAGCAGGCTGAAGCTCGGCCCGTATTGAGGTCCCACTATTTTGATCAGTGAGCTGTTACTTCAAGACAGTAGCATAAATAATGATTATATACATTCAAATTTGTTAATAAATTGACTAATATTTCTGTAAAAATGAGTAAAACTGCCTCTCTCAACTCTCTAGTTCTATAGTCTGGCTGGTCCAAACCCTCTGCTACGCAGCGGGTCTGCATGGACCAGCCAGACTACTAGTTCTACCGGCTTTCACTGCCACATTCTTCTGATAACTATTCACTGCTATATTCTTCCAATGTTCACTTCTTAATTGCCTTGGAAGGACAAGTAACAACCATTGAGGTGATTTCCCTTGTAAATTGCTTGCTGCAGCCTTTTCAGTTTCCAAAACAACAAGGCCTCCATTGAACTCCATTGCATTCAGCTTTCAGTTGTCCTCCAAGATGGTTGACAGGATATGACGTCACGTGCAATGGGTCTATGCTAAGTGCAATGCTAGCTGGATTGTAACCATGATGATTAATCAATTTAACACATAAGCACATCAGTATGCTTATGTTTGTGTTAATTCATTATAAGTCTATTGGATAGTGTTGTTGATCTGGATTATAACTTTATCAATGGATCCAATGTATTATTAACATGGACAGCTTCTTATACACTGGATAATGTACCTATCACTGGATACTATATAGTAGTTAATGGATTTGTGAGCATTACTACTAATGATAATAATACTAATATTATATTATCAGCTCAGTACTAATCCTGATCCTTGTCTATTAAATAATATATCAGTTTCTCCTATTAATGATGTTGGAATAGGTTCATCTAATAATATCAGTTTTTATTATGAAAAAGGTTAGTCCTACTATGGCTTCATGTATATGTTTACAACACTCCCTTTTAAGTCTCTCCTGTTATATCAGTACATAATGTACATTTAACACCAGTTTGTGATGAAGGACCAATATACATCAGCATTAATGTAAGCATAGTCATCAGATATTCCACTCATGTGATAAGCATGTGTCGTTTTTATACCCAACACACAATAGGTTAGCACTATATGTGAAAGGGAGTATCCTGATTCTATAGCAGTTATTATACTCAATAGTGATAGCAGTACAGTAATAAATAATGTTACTATTATACCACAAGTTAATTATCAACTGATGATAGCGACTGGAAATACTTCAATACCATCTTGCAATGATACATTAATTGTTAATGTATCATTGAGTAATACTGAAGGAACTCTTAATGAAATGTCACCTTTTAAATTTGGTAATAAATTATCTTCTTTCTAGACTTTTTATTTTTAATTTTCATGAGTTTATTTTGGACCAGTTACAAACATTGACTTCTCAGTTGTTAATTGTAAGAGTATCTATACAGTATTACATACTAAGAATATGATTCTATGACTAGTAATCTAGTGGATACTGTATCAGTATATGATACCAGTTATCAGTTTGTGGATAATAATTTATTTGATCATCATTATACATATGTCATAACTGGAGTTAGTAAATTAGGAGAAGGAATATCTAATAATAATACATTCTCATATCAAAGAGGTACAATATTTTAAAGCCTTAAGTGCATAAGTGTCTGTTGTCTAATTAGGCTGAATTTAATAATTGTGCATGCAAAATAAAAGTAAATGCATTTGTGTTTTAATAGTTCCAAGATCAGCAGTGAAGACGGATTTTATGGTGAATTGTACACAAAATCAAATCTCAGTAAGTATAGTAGAAATAATTATATTATTATTATCTAATATCAAATTGCAAAAGAAAGTAATAATGGAACTCCTGTGTATGTTACACTTACTATCGAGTGCAATGAAACTGGAGTTAAGTATGATAATACTATACTAGTGGAGAATGCTACAACGGGATCAGTACCAGTGCCTCTTAATGATAATTGTTCATTTATTACTGTTGTTAGCAATTGCACTGGTAGTAGTGAACCATTTAAAGTAAATATACATATACATCAAGAGTAGATAATGTATCTACTCTTGATGTACATGCAGTTGTTAATTAATTAATCAATCACATATTGCCATTAATAGACACTACTCCTCCTAGTGCTCCTACTATCAGTAATGCACCATCACCTACTGATCCACTTACATTGGATGGTAATAACTGAACTTTATTTATTATACACTATACTTTTTGTAGATACTAATGTTATAATTGGATCTACGCTTGGAGCAATAGTAGTTTTGACGATCGTTCCAATACCAATATTGATAGCTTATTGTTTATGTAAACATAGATCTACTGTAAGTAATTCCCAAACTGTTTTTTAAAATAGTTTACATGAATAGATTGTAACGACATAAAAGATTACAATATTTTTATTGTTCTAGACTCATGTTGTACAAAGAAATGGCAAAAATCAAGGACAGGTATAGTGTCAATTTATGCATAGCAATAATTAATTTAATTTTAGCAGGATCAAGGGGATACTAAACTCTAAATAAGCATATTTACTTTTGTATGTTGTAGAACAAATTTATAGCTATCTATTTATTTTGACTGTTTTTAACCTTCTAAATTAATATTATGTGATTTCTTCATTGTGTTTAGAGCATTTTAAACTTGAATATAAACTACATTTAGTCGGGGCATGCATTTTCATAAACTAAACAGTAATGAGCCATAGCCAAAGTAGTATCTTAATTCAGTGTTCATATCGGTTTACTTCCACATCACTAACTCTTCTTGTCAGTGTTAAACCTAGATCTACAATTAAAGTAAATGTGTCTTTTATAGTTGTACCTCCATGTATAATTTTGAAATAATCAATCTTGTATTTGCATGGTAAAGTTGAAATTAAATTCACTTTAATGTGTATGTAATTGTACAATGCAGATTATCTACTGTTAATTTCACAAGTCTGTTTCTTGATTAATGACTGCTGCCTTCAACTTCTCCATAAGCTGGATTATTGACTAATTCTCCTTAGCTACCTTTTACTTCTCCATAAACTGGATTATTAATTACATCCCTTCTGTTTCCTTCTATTTCTTCATAAACTGGATTACTATAATCATTAAACTGTTGATCTGGTATGCTTCATTAGTTGCAGTAGATGCTTTCTGTTTTTGTAATGAGGTAGCTCCTGTTATTAATATTTAATAAATAAGCACATATGCACACACACACACACACACACAACACACTATAAATACTTACTATGCAATTTCCTTTTGTAGATAATGGCAGAACAAACTGATACAGAGAGAGAGACACATCATCAATGATAATATGACGACACCCAATGATGTCAGGATTATAACTATAACATACAAATGGTACCTAATAATAGTCAAGGCAACTAACCAGCATTAACCGGCATTAAGACCTGCTAAAACAGTTGTGACAGTAGAGGATGACTGGGTGGTAGTAGGATATGTATCTATTATAAGCAGGGGCGGATCTAGGATTGGATTCTTGGGTGTGGTAATTAGTGGGTGTGGCCAACAAAGCCAAAATTCAGAGTCAAAATTTTGAAGATTAAAGCTGTTAAAATGAGCTCCTTTGTGGTTTAAAAATTGTTTGCATAGTCATGCTTCACAGTTTACATAGTCATCCACATGAAAAAGTTGATTTTAAATTACTGCACAAAATTTTTGGGTGGGCCTGGCCCACCCCTAGATCCGCCCCTGATTATAAGTAACTAATCATACTACTAATCATAGCATGTACTAATTATTCATAGTATGTACTGTCAACATATGCACTTGTAGTGTGGTGCGTGGGCGGATCAAAGGCGCCGCCAGTGCTACAACTGCCAATAACCACATGGTAGGAAAATGTAGCACTGTGTGGAATATATATACTATGTCCCAACCGTGTTTGGACCAAGAAAAACTGGAATAACTTTTTATAGGAATGTGGGATAAGAATGAGACTTCCACAGGTTCTTAGTCGCCCAATGCCGCTTCAGGATCTCAGGTCTTGGGTCTCTCAGCCCTTGGGAACCCTGAGAACCGGGTTCTCCCTATAAACCCAATGGCATACCAAAGCTAACCGCAATGACGTTCTATGATGTCATAGTTTACATAAGCACATGTGGTCGAGCTCCCAAACTGATAATTCTTCCTTTAAAGTGCTAATAGAGCAAGATCTTCTGATAATGATGGCCTTTATGAAGACTAGTTGACTCCAGTAGCTATTGTACTGCTTATCAGGAAGAACAAGACTGTTTTAAGAGTGAAACAACACAGCCGAAATATCGTCCATGTCTCTATGAATATCATTATAACACGTCATTAGTGACGTAACTACATTTTTCAAATTCCAATGCAGCTGCTTCCACTTCCGGTCCATTCTCAGTTGAGACATAGTATAGTACTGCACAGTATAATATGTATGGGCTTTCCTGTTAACCACAAGCTTTGATAGAGGCAAATAACAGCCTCAGCTACATACACTAGACATGTAACAATAATAATAGTGATAAATGAGATCTGATCATCTTGCACTGGCCACCTGTGCGACTTTTGAAATTTCATTTGATCCGCCCACGCAATCAAAGCACTGTTGATTCATAGATACTACATACTATGGTTGATTTGTAGATTACGGAAATTATTGCACTCGGGACGGTCTCGACAAAAATGGTAGCACTCGGCTTCGGCTTGTGCTACATTTTCCTCTCGACCGCCCCTCGTGCAATAATTTCCGTAACCTACTCTCAACAGTGCTTTAACTAATACATAACTTACCAAGTGGTAGTATAAATGGTTCACTACTACCAGCACCATTACTGAATACAATAGTGATATTGCACTCTTGATACAGTGGCATTGATACAAATCCTGTTATAGCATTCATTTGCTTCACTATAGGTATGTGACACTGTAATAAATATCAGTATCATTACATATTACTGTAACTGTAAAGTACTCAAGGTCTTCATTAGGACATTCCAGCATAATCTATAAAATTAACAATATGAATAAAGTATTTAGCATAATAGCAACTCTATATACTGGAATAGTGAACTGGACTATAGTCACATCTTCTGTAGTGAAAAGTATGTCAATAGACGTATTTTCTGCAGCTGATTTCGGAACTTCATGTAAGATTAAATGGCATTACAAAAGAGCTATTGTAATAGTGTGTCTACCTCTTAGGTATGAGAACGTATTATTATTAGATATTCCTTCTCCTAATTCATTAACTCCAGTTATAGCATATGTATAATGATGACTAAATACATTATTATTGACAAACTGATAACTTGTATTATATACTGATACAGTATCCATTAAACTACCAGTAATATCATCATATATTCTTAGATAATAGTAAAGAATGGAAGTCCTATCATCATCTTCACATTGACTACTCCATGTGACAATAACAGTAGTACAATTATCTAAAAATGATTGAATGTTCTGAACTGAACCTAATATACCTAAAACAACAATTACATGTTTAAGTATAAAAATTTACTTACTAAATATGAAAGAAGGAATGTCATTAAAGATTCCTCCATGATTACTCAATACAATACTGATGACAAATGTGCTTAAATTAAAATCCTCCAATATTATTCGTATTAGGAAACCAATACCCACAGCCTACTTTGGTAAACTAACACTCTCTTGTATCTCATTATTATTATTGAATATAATGACAGTTATATCATTGGGATATTCAGGCAATGCATATTGTATCCTACGTATGAGTGAAAAAA